GCATCTGGACTGTGTCTTGGTTTCCATATCTTCGAGCTTTGAGTTGGGCGCTATGCGCCAGTGTGATTCACCATCTGTTTGTATGCATGTGAAGCTACGAAGTATGCGAGTCTGATTGCACTGGTATCGGAGCTCATACTCGCTACTCCATGCGCATCGTCGTTGTAGCAGGAGGGAGACGCGTGGGCGCCATAGCTGAAGTGCGCCACCCTTGAAGAAGAAGTCCGCCATAGCTGCGCTGCGGAAGAGAGTGACGCGTACCTGCACAAAGGACAACGACAAAGAGAGAGAGAGAGAGAGAGAGAGAGAGAGAGAGAGGGGCTGAGCGATACAAGATTGGTTATCACGTACCTGCTGCGCTGAAGATTGGTTGTGCGGTCCAAGAAGAGGTAGCGGCCATAGCCGCAGAGCTCGGAACACGGAGGAGAGAGGGGAGAGAAGCAGGAAGGAGGAAGGAGGGAAAACGAAGGTGAAGACAGACATAGCCGGGGGTGTACAAAAAGAAAAAAAAAACGAGAAACAGCGAGAAAGAAGAAGGGTGAAGGAGGAGAAAGAGAAGGGAGATTGGCGAGGAAGAAGGTGCCGGCAGCCACAGCCGATCAGAGGGTTGACCGGGCGTTGACCAGAGGGTTGACCGGAGCGTTGACCAGGGTTTGACCACGTTGACCAAGCGTTGACCAAGGCGTTGATCGGAGCTGCTGACCACAATTTTGACCAAGCTGGAGTTGGTATAATCTTGTCGAGCCCTCAGCCTATCCCCTCGCCCTATGGATGTGCACTCGCCCTATGGTACTTGCTGAGTCTGAGTCTGTCTGTCTCTTCTTTCTGCATTGAGTCTCTTCTATCCAGGTGATAGGACTCCGTGTATGAAGGATAGGGCCTCGTTGACCAAACCCACACGGGCTGAGTAGGGCTAAAGACTGTGTCTAACGACTCGACTGTCCCGAAGGACACGAACCCTCCCAAGGACCGGTACTGACCGGCGGGCTGCTCGGTGTGGCACAGTAGGCCCGAAATCTGAGCTGTGGGCTGCACAACGGGCCGTCTACGTTTTGAGAGGACCTGCTGATCGCGTCGTCCTGTCTGCGGCGTTAAAGAATTCTTGAGGAGTTACGGGGGATCTCCTTAAATGCCTCCTGATCAGCAACGGGTTTTGTAGTGACGGCTGTAGTTTAGAGTCTAGGCTTGACAGGGTCTGAACCGGAGTGAAAGCCAGGTGGGTTTGACCGCAGGTGCTGGGCATCTGGGCCTGGATTGCAAGGACTGTGGTTGCGAAAGTTTCCGTCGGCCGTGGTAATCTGGCTAGAATGAAGGGTAAGATTCTGTAGCCCATAGAGAGTCAGTCAGTCTTAAGTTAAGTACTGAGTGGTGAGGAGTGGAACCGTCGTTGGGTTGTGCATCTTTCACCATGGTTGACACGCGTACCGGGAAGAGTACTTCCCCTTACACACCCAAAGAAGAGGCAAAGGTCGCCGCCATCCTCAAAGAGAGAAGAGAGAAAAAGGAGGCCAAGAAGAAGGCCTTGATCGAGGAACAGGCGGCGAAGTTAAAAAAGATTGAGGAGGAGATGGCAAGAGAGAAAGAGAGGTTAAAGAGGGAAGAAGAAGCGAAGTTAAAGGCGGTAGAAGAAGAGGAAGAGGAGGTGGAAGAAACGCCGCTGGAAAGGCGAAGGGCCGAAGGAAGAGGAGAATCCAGTGGCATGAAAGAGGACCTGATGGAGAAGAAGATTACATAGTGGGTGGCTGGACTATCCCTGGGAGAAGATGAGGAGGCCCTAATGTATGTGCCCAGGGACGAACAGGAGGCAGCCGTAAAAGAATGGGAGGCTGAAGAAGATCCGCTTAAGCGACAGGTGTTGGAAGATGAAAAAAGAATGGAGTGGAAGTTTCGCCTGACGAGGGAGAGGAAAAGAAGGATGGAGGCGGCGAGTCAGGCTGCGATAGAATTAGAAGAGATAAAGAAACAGAAGGATCAGATGGCGGTGCAAGTGGATTTGTTGGGGAAGATGGAGATTATGGCAAAGAATATAGAGCGTCTAGCACGAGTCCAGGAAGAGCAACTTTTATTTGGTAGAAGTCGGGACATTGTTGTGCGTTCTATACGATCGGGGCTCCGGGACTTTGCACACGAACTGGTGACACAGGTGGGCTCCGAAGTCACGACCCGCCTAGACAGTACAGAGCGCTATTGCACGGGTGCCATAGAGGGCGCCAGACTGACCGCTCCCAAAGAGGAGGAAGTACGTCCCCGTAGAGAGCCGGTCAAAGTTAAATTTCCCGATTCCTACAGCGGGAGAAGGAAGAAAACTTTGACAATTGGGAAGCAAACGTCAAAACCTACGTGCATTTACAGAAAGTCTCCCCAGACTAGCAGGTGTTAATAACCATCCACGCTCTGAAGGAGGAGGCTGCCAGTTTTGCCCGTTCCTTGGTCCGCGCCGCGAATTGTAATGATGATGTAGTTGCGTACTCCGCCTTCACCCCCCTCGTTGACTTCCTTAAGTTGTTGCGCGAACGATTTGCGGACGTTTCGCGCAGTGTCAAAGCCTCCGACAGGCTTCAAACTATCCCCTCTTGTCAGTGGAAGAGTGCCAAGGCACTCAAAGGAGTTATGGACGAGTTGGTTGCAGTCCCTGACCACGGGGTCACTGAGACCCAGTTGGTCAACCTCTTCTATCGGGCTATGCCCGAATCCTTGCGTGGGCACTTCTTCGAGAAGAGCCAGCAATCCACCATGACTTGCGACGCCCTGAGCAGGGAAGTGGTGGCTTTTGAAGCGAGGTCCATGTCAGTGTCCACTTTCTGGCACAAGGACCTGGACATGGGAAAAAAGTGGAAGGGTCGCACTATCTCTGGAAAGGTTAAGACCAAGGATCATTTGATCCTTACGTTAGATGAGGGTAGTGTCGACGAGGTCCCCTACGAGCAGATAGAATGGGGCCTTGACGAGGAGCAAGAGGACAGTGGCGCCAGTCAGGGGAGGACTTACGCTGCTGTCGCGGTCGGAGGGAGGCCACAAGGAAGAGGAGGAGGCCAGGGCCAGGGCGGTCGGGCCTCAGGTGGCCGTTTTCAGGGCGAGCAGGGGGTTGGCGGTAGAGGAGGAAACCGCCAAGCGGTAAGAAGGGGTCAAGGTCCCCCGCAAAACCGTTCTAGTAACCGTTCACCTAATAGGGGTAATAGGTCACCTTATAGGAGAGGTGGTTGGCACCCAGGTCTGCCACAGGGCCGACCTTGGGAGGATTTGGGTCTGGACCAGCGCGTCTGGCAGCAGCGTGTGGATCAGGGGCAGTGCGTCTTTTGCGGTGACCCTGGCTTCATCATTCGATATTGTCCAAAGTATAGAGAGGCCCGATGGGCTGCCCAACAGGCAAAAGGCAGCCGCCGGCAGGGGTTGCAACTGCCCCTACCATAAGGCCATGTGGGGAAACGAGCGCAAGCCGGCAAGAAACTCCCACACCACATGAGCCTATGGCAGAGGTTGCAGGCCGGTGCTTAGATAGCTGTCCAGAGACTGCTTGTGTTAGAGTCTCGTGAGGCACCTCCCTCACAGGCGTGGTTGATGAGCTGAAAGAGAGAATGCCCGCTTGGGCCAAAATGAAGAAAGAAAGTAAGGGACAACTAGTTTTGGTAGATGTAGAGGTCTTTAGAAGTAGAGTAGGAGCCCTTATAGATTCAGGGTCTACCCGCAGTTACATTAGTCGTAGATCGCTGAAGAAGCTGAGGCTAAACTTGAAAGTCCAGAAGTTGGAAGACCCCATAGTGAGTGTCCTCGCAGACAACTGCACTATGCGAGTTGAGGAGTATGTAGAGGGAGTCCAAGCATATTTCCGCCTAGAGAAAGATGGGAAGGTGGAGAAAGTTCTCCATTCCCTGACTCTCCTCGTACAGGATGACCTCCCTTTTGATGTAGTCCTAGGGATGGACTAGGGAGAGGCAGCAGGGGCCACACTCCACTTAAAAGAGCATGAGTTTAGGCTCCCTAGCTCGTCAGGCGAGGTTAAGACTGCCCGTCTGTTTCATGCGTCAGGTGTAGATAATACCCTAGCACATTGTTGTCTCAGTGCTCCTGCGTTTGCCGGATTGCTGAAAAAGGAGAAATTAGAGGAACAGGTCTTCGTAGTTTACGCCAGGCCTGTCACTGAGCCTAAGGAGGAGAAGCCCATTGACCCAGCTATTGCTAAGCTGCTGGAAGAGTTCAAAGATTTAGCGGAGCCGCCGACAGGAGTAGTATCGCGGCCCATCCAACATCACATTGAGATTGAGCCTGGCAGTAGGACTCCCAAAGGAGCGGTGTATAGAATGTCCCCGCGGGAGTTGGAGGAGTTACGCAAGCAGTTAGACGAGCTCCTAGAAAAGGTTTGGATTAGGCCCAGTTCGTCTCCATTTGGAGCACATGTTCTATTTGTCACCAAGAAGGAGGGAGAACTCAGAATGTGTATAGACTATAGGGGTCTCAATGTTATCACCGTAAAGAATGCAGAGCCGCTGCCCCGTATAGACGATCTTTTAGATCGGGTGCAGGGATGCAAGTACTTTTCGAAGATAGACTTGAAGTCCGGATATCATCAGATAGAGGTCCATCCTGATGATCAGTATAAGACCGCGTTCCAAACTAGGTATGGGCATTATGAGTTTATAGTCATGCCCTTTGGACTAACCAACGCGCCAGCGACTTTTCAGCGTTGTATGAATGACTTGTTTAGGTCGTGGTTAGATAGGTTTGTAGTAGTCTATCTAGATGACATTCTAGTTTTTAGTAAGACCCCCCCAAGAGCACCAGGGTCATCTAAGGCAGGTCTTGGAGAAGCTGAGAGAGGCTAACTTCAAGATCAACCCCAAGAAGTGCGAGTGTGCAAAGACCCAAGTTTTGTACTTAGGCCACGTCTTAGACGGAGACGGCATTAAGCCAGAGGATAGCAAAATCGCAGCGACTACGGAAAGAAACAATCTGGAAGTGGGATAAGGACTGCACGTCTGCCATGAAGAAGTTGAAGCAGGCGTTGATAGAGTATCCAGTCCTTAAGGTCGTCGATCCGTCCTTACCTTTCGTCGTTACCACTGACGCAAGCCAGTATGGCATAGGTGTAGTACTACAGCAAGACGATGGCAACGGATATAGACCCGTAGAGTTCATGTCTGCTAGGATGCCTTCAGAGAAGGTAGCGACATCCACCTACGAGAGGGAACTCTACGCTCTCAGGCAAGCGTTAGAACATTGGAAGCACTACTTGCTTGGGAGGCACTTCAAAGTGTATTCAAACCATGAAACTTTGAGGTGGTTGAAGACACAGGCCAAGATGACACCTAAATTGACTAGGTGGGCCGCAGAAATAGACCAATATGATTTTGAGCTCAAGCAAGTAAAAGGAAAGTACAATGTAATTGCGGACGCTCTGAGTAGGAGGTCAGACTACTTTGGAGCGATAGTCCATTATCTGGATATAGGGAAGGACCTGCAACAAAAAGTTAAAGAGCCATATGCGCAGGACCCTATCTACAGCGACCTTCTCAAGAAAGTACAGGAGGCCCTAGAAACCGAGCCAGATTACCGCACTACAGAGGGGTTGTTATTCGAGAAGACTAATGTAGTTGACCGATTGTGCGTTCCTAATAGTGAGGAGATCCGTAGCCTGATCCTAGGGGAATGTCACGATACTGAGGGACACTTCGGTTGGCAAAAGACCTTAGCCAATCTGATGCGCGCGTACACTTGGCCAGGGATGAAGAATGACTGCATAGAATATGTCCGCAGTTGTAAAGTGTGGCAGAGGAAAAAAAACACCACGCGTGCCCCTCTAGGTCTTCTCAAACCCCTGCCTATTCCTGACCAGCCCGGGGATTCAGTGTCCATTGATTTCATGGACACCGGTGTCAAGAGTAGGCATAATAAGACCCAAGTCATGGTCATAGTAGATAGATTTAGCAAGTATGCAGTTTTTGTTCCGTTGCCTGCGGAGGCACGTACAGAGTTAGTAGTTCAGAAGTTCTTTGATCATTGGGTCAGTGAACACAGGATTCCGTTGTCTATAGTTAGCGATAGAGACACCCGGTTCACTAGTCAGAACTGGCAGGAGTTGATGAGAGTATATGGCTCCAAGCTGTTGATGTCATCTGGCTGTCATCCAGAGACTAATGGTCAGACTGAACAAATGAATAAGCTCCTACAACAAGTTTTGAGGATGTACATTAGGCCTGATCAGACTAACTGGGATGAGATGCTCCCAAAGGTAGCCAGTGCCTACAATAACAGCGTGCACCTATCCACGTGTCGCACTCCCAACGAATTACACAAGTCCTTTAGACCACGCAGACCGTTTGAGGGACTTAACCGGGATCAGATTCATAGGCGACCGCCCTGTACTAGGGAGTTTGTGTTACAGCACGAGGAGTTAGCGACCGTCGTAGAGAACCTCAGGAAGGCCCAGCATAGGATGATAGAGCAAGCCAATAAGCATCGTCGCCTGTCATAGTTTCAAGTAGGCGACTTAGTCTGGGTCAAGTCTAAGGAGTTTGCTCCTGAGGAGAATATCTCGCAAAGGTTATTGCCTGCGTATAGAGGACCGTGGCCAGTTCTACAAGTTAAGGGCGGAGAGGATGGGCCGTCCTACACAATAGAGATTCCAGCGCATCTCCACACCTACCCCGTATTTCACGCATCGAAGCTGTTGCCGTGTGTCACAAGTCGACAGTTTCCCTCTAGAAGGTCCATGATCCCTCCGGATATGGATGGAAGATATGACATTGACGGCATTGTAGGTGAGGATATATTCAGGACAGGAGGTAGAGGTCGTCCTCAGAAACAGTACAAGGTTCGATTCGCATATCAGGAACCGGAAGACGACCGCTGGTTTACCAGAACTGACTTCTAGAAACAGCTCCCTACGAAAGAGATAAGAAAGGTAAAGGTCCTGCCTTGGACTGAGACATTCTCGGAGGACCTCGAATTTAGGTCGGCGGGAGAGAAACGGTTTTCACCTTTGCAGAGGCAGATGCAGATCCTGGGGTTTGATCCCCAGACCTTACCTCACCCACGTACAATATCGAGTTGACCTCTGAGTGCTTGAACCCGTGACCTGTGTTTTATGAGTTGTTGTTTGTCTGTCGTAGGACTGTGTGGACGTAGGGATTCGATCTGCAGACCTGTCGAGTAGAGGTCTTTCCAGAAGTCGTAGCTGTAGATGTCCTGAAGGGTCAAAGTCGTAGCTGCTACAGTCCTGAAGGGTCAAGGTCGTAGCTGCTACAGTACTGGAAGGCCAAGTCCACGGTCTTCCGGAAGGTAGCTGCTACAGTCCTGAAGGGTCAAGGTCGTAGCTGCTACAGTACTGGAAGGCCAAGTCCAAGGTCTTCCGGAAGGTCCGGAAGTGGCCTTTCGAGTTTTCCTCTCACGTTTTCCACAGAAGGCCAGAGGCAAG